AAAAGATTGGCAGGCCACACTCCAACCTGCCGCAATCAGGTATTAAAAAAATCGACTTTGCAGTCAAAATCAAAGGGTTCGGGTGAGTGTCAGCGACACCTTTGCTCGAACCCTGAAAAATCGTTCTATAGAATAACATTTTTTAGTTTATATTTGTATCGGAGTTGATAAGAGGATGAACAATAATATCATGAACTCTCTGCTTTATTTTATGATTTTATAAGATAGTGTCCACGTGATGATAACAGTATTAACTCACATCTCCCATTCAAAACTTCGTGTGAATTTCAGTTGAAAAAGATTTAGATGCTACTGCTGTATTCACTCAGCTAAAGTGCTATCCACATCTCAGATCTGTGTGTGATCTCTCCATCCCCAGCCTACACTACAAATCATCTTTCTTTTTTCTTTACTCAAAAAAGCAAAAACTACCTCCGAGCTCATCTCCCCCACCTTGATTCAGTTGGGGGCAAGATAATTTACAATTACACACGTACACTTTGGGCTCGAAAAATCTAGCACAATAGGAAAAAAAGCAAATCGCCTTATGAGCAAAAAGGTAACTGCGCATAAAAAAGCCGCCCAAGCCCACAAACAAATCCAAAGTACGCCCCCGCCCATGTTCCTATTACCAAGGACCTGCTGTGTCCTGTCTCTGCATGTGCTCTAGAGACCAAGACTTAAAAAACAATGTCCAAGGCCAGCTACCAAGCTACGGCTTTTGATCTGCTTCTGTGTCTAATACAAAGTAGAAGGTAAAAGGAAATGGTGAAAGGATGGACAGTTAGATGGTAAGAGAGAGATAGACACAGAGAGTGTTTGGAAACAACCCCAAAAAGGAACAATAGGGAGAGGGTATATACTACATATCCGTAATCATAGCTTGATCGTCCTGGCGCTGACCCTCGGTTACAATGTCAAGGAGACGCGCGTACGGTACGGTAATGCGCTGTAGATCGCGGTGTTTACCTGGATCATGAGTGTTAGCAAGTGGGTGCATTTTTGTATCTGGAGTATATCCAGAAACATAATCGCAAAGAAGAAAACTTACCAAGAATCAAAACAGCTTCCTTCAACAAGTCCTCTTTCTTCCAGCCGCAAATTCCAGAGGGCTCCTTGATCGCTTCGTTGGCGCCTTGTTGTTCTTCATCGTTGTTGTCATCGCCATCCTCGTCGCCAGCGGTAATAAGATTGCCCATCAGACCTCGCAGCAGCTCTTCGATCTTGCCCTTGAGGCCTTCGGCGCCAAGTCGCTTGACATACATGGTAAAGTAGATCTTGTACTCTTCCTTTGCGCCCAAGGTACGGGCGGCAGCGACACGGTTCTCAAGATGTGCTACACTGGCACTGCTCTCAAACGTCTCGTAGCCTTCTGCGGAGACCAGTATCTTGATCAGTCGCTGGAGGTGGAAGGCGCGACCTTGTAGCAGGGATTGGTTCGTCGTGTTGCGCTCGAGAGCGGGTATAATACCTGCTGAAATATTTTCTGGAGAAACCTGGTCGTCCTTTTCTTTTACCATGGCCTTGTCTTGCGACGAGCGGATGTTGCCAACGGAAGAGTCCGTAGAATTCCAGTACTGACTGGTGACGCCCCACCATGGCTCCGACAAGCGCTGCCAGATGTACATATCGGGATTATATGCGTATCCTTCACCGTTAGACATGGCCACCGTTATCCGACCAGCTGAATTCAAGCGTGCAAACACGATACCGGGTGATCGAGTAAGGTGCGGTCCTTGGGCATACGCTGCTATGTCGAGGATAGGGGCCAGTGAAACAGGTGGGTGAGGCGAGGACATGCTCTTCAGGTTCCAGATGTAGCACATGCCAACTGCCGTTATACACATTAGCCACCAGCCTCGACAGTCCATGATGACAGGTTGAGCCTCGAGAATCATGGCGTTTAGTGTCCGCCGGCCTGCGGGTGTCCATGCGTACACGGAACCATCCTCGCATGCTGCAGCGAAAAAGTTTGTGTTGCCAGTTACCAGCAACACAGCTTTTGGCAAAAAGTCCTGCCATAGTGACTGTCCTTTACTAGTACAGGTCAATCTTGTTGGATCATGATCTTGCGGTCGTCCAGTCCGCGATGGACCGCTGGCGTTGCGTGCTTCCAGTATGACAGTGTCTGGTATATCTGCTTTGCCCGTGTTGGCATCGACACCACTCTGCGGTGGCTCACTGCCATCCATAGTTCGCACGATGACACTCCTGACTTTCGGCACCGCCAATCGCACCTGGGCCAAACTAAGCGATGGGTTGACAATAGCTGGCCTGAGTACTTTGGGTGGATCATGCGCTTCGTTGTTCTTTGGCGGCGCAGCAGCAGGTGGAATGAGGCCATTCTCGCTATTGAGTACTATCGCAGCACCTCCAGGTTTTACAGAAGCAGCCAATCTCCGTTCGACCTGCTTATCTTCGTCTCCTTCAATCTCAGCAAACTTTCTCTTGTTACCAATAAGCAAAGTGGCAAGGCCGCCTTTCGGGAACCCATCGTACGGTTTTGATAGATCGAGGATGTTGTGTGGGTTGTCACTCCTACCACCAGATGTTGTTGTCGCGGAGAGGAGCTGTGTCTTTGGCAAGGAAGACTCCCCCACACCTGACGAAGATGACATCAACATTGGCGCTATTCGCTTCTTTCCATCTTTTGTGACTGTCACTCGTTGCTTTAGCTTTTCTACTCTCTGATCCGGAGGGGGCTCAACGGGGGCTGGCGGTTGCGCTGGGGTAGTGGCGGCGGCGGAGGATCCGTTGGTCTGGGTTGTCGTTGTCGTCGTCGAGGGGGTAGTGCCATTTGTTCCGTTTGTGATTGTAGGAGGTTGGACTGCACCGCCATCACCCATCAATGCACCCATCCTGCCCTGAACACCTTTCAATTCCCCGCTCTTGCTGCTCTCTTCTAGGAGTAGCGCATCTGTACCCTCAATGATACCGACTCTTCTACCAGCACCAAACTTGGCAAGCGTCTTCTCATTCTCTGCAAGCGTGGCAGGATATCCAAGCTCGCCCGTCTCAAATACGAGTGTCATGATGCTGCCGTCTAAGCTAGTCGCGTACAGTGTCTCTCCGTCGGGTGACCATGCCAAGTCAGATATCGACTTTCCTGCCAGCTCCTGCGAAATCATGAATGGCCTGGGAAAGCTCGTATTCCAAACACTCAGGCATTTATCCTGCCCAGCGCATGCGACAATGGTCACGGTCGGTTGTGTGATGGTTCCATCTTTTTCTGGGCGTGGCGGATCCCTGTAGAACAATCGTGGGGAGAACGAAGTGACCTCGACAGGCCCTTCATGGCCAACAAGACTAATATCTCCATCCCACGATCCACGCGAAAGAATGGCGACTGAGCTGACCGGTCCGTTTGTAGCGTTCGCGGCGGCAATATGGGCACCGTCTGGCGACCACGAGCATCGGCGAAAATATGTGGTAAGAGGGGAGGTTTGGAAGGGTGCGGTAATTGTATGGTCCAAGACAAAGTTGTTGACCTGGTCCTGCTGAGATGCATTGGGCGGCGGGGAGTTGAATCGGTAGATTTTGATGGTTCGGTCGTCGCTTGCAGTCGCAAAGTACTTATTAGCCGGGTCGAATGTTATGCCCTTGACGTGACTTTGATGGTTGGATAGCGTCTTGAGCTTCTCGAACGAATGGCCTGACCAGACAACCACCTTGGAGTCCAGCCCCACGGAGACTAATATCGAGGAATCGAATGACCAGCCCAGATCCTGCACGTCGTTATCGTGTCCTATGAGGCGGCGGATGACGCGCCAGTTCTCAACGGGCGGGGGTTCGTTTGATCCTGCGAGTCCATCAGCAATTGCTCCTCTCCTGTCTGCCATGTGTACCCACCGAATGCCGCGTGTGTGGGCGCATTCTTATCAAGCGCATAGACACATACTATCTTGTCATCTGCGCCGGATGCCAAGTATTTGCCGTTGGATGAGAAGCGAACGGCATGGATGGTGCCTGAATGATGGCTTACGGCCGCGAGCTGCTTGGGCTTGGTATATGTGGGATCGTTGGATTTGAGGATGGCTTCGGTAGACCACACGCGTACGTATCCATCTACGTGATGTGTATGTTAGCTGTGTGTTGGAGCAGCGCATCGCGTAGGTTAGGCCGGGGGATGGATGAACGAACCTCCGGCAGCAGTAGCCAGGCGCGACCCATCGGGGGAGACGTGGCAGCTGTATACTTCAAAGTCCTTCTGTTCACCTGGAATGAGAGCCAATGTCAGCAAGATAAGAGCAGAATGCGAAGTGCACAACAGGGAGCATGGGCAGAGATGGACGCACCGGGATGTGTCAACCACTGTGGCTTGATGAGATGCATGGTCGCGTCAAGATTGCTGACAGCTCGGGCATGCTCCTACGCGACCATGAAAAGATAGGATGCGGACAGCGAGGGCGTGGTGGTGGACCGCGACAGTTGTCTAGCGCTGGCGACGCGAACTCGCAGTCGACGCTACTTGGCAGACGTTTGGGCAGGGGTTTAAGGTTTAGGTGCATGCGTCGATCGAAAAGCGGGTGTTAAACTAAACGAGCGGCGGGAAAGTTGCAATAGTAGACCATCATATTTGTACTAGCGCTGGATATTGTACAAACTATGTAATACCATGACTACCATGCCTATCTCAAGGTCTTATAGGTACACGTTCCTCGGCTGAGCGCGACATGTACGCTCTCCTTCTCCAATCGTCTTATTGGCCATCGTACGTTCTGGTCTTGATGCCAAGCAAGCGACACCACCCCCAGACGCTTTCTCTCGCGGCCCAACCCAATCATCTTACCATATCTATGGTTTCGTCGCCCACATTTCCCATAGCATATGAGAAGCCAGTACTTCCCGTCCATATCCCTGTGGAACGCGCGCCCCTTGTATCATGATCATTAGGCGCTATAAGAGAAACTGAGCGCGCAACGTACAGGGCTTATGCCAGCTACAGTAGGGGACCCAACTTTGACCCATCAGTCTGCACTACAGGTTGATGGCCAAGGCCTTCATTTCGCCTTCTTCCTCTTCTTGAAGACAACGGCTGGTGCTGCCGGCGCATCCCCCTCCTCCTTCTTGACTACCACTTCAGCAGCTGTGGCTTCGGCCTCTTCTGCGGTAGGTATGTCCTTTAGTGTTTTCGTGTCAGCATCATCTTCCACCTCTGCTTTCACACCATCATCTGGCTCCTCCTTCTTCACCTCAGGCTGTGCCTCCACACCTGACTTCTCTCTCTTTCCAAACAAACTCTCAATATCGTCATCGCCTCCCTTGCTGCCTGGAAAGTGCTTGAAAGTGTTTCCCCAGCCTTTTTTCTTAGTGATCAGCTCTCCAGCGGCCTTTTGCTCTTCTTCGTCCTCATCGAGCTGTCTCTTTCGTACACCCTTGTTTAGAGATGTCGCCTTAAATTCACCGTCCTCATTCACTTCTCCAACCACTTCCTCCGATACTGTCTTCCACTCTCCCGCCATCGCTAGGTCACCACGAGCGGCTGTAGGTATCGCAACACCCATAGCCGCCAGTTCCTCCCATTGTCTTTTTCTGTCTTCCAAAGTTGCCTTCTTCTCCGGTCGCTTCTCGAACGTGGGCTTGCCGCCTACGCCAGTCGCGACCGAGGGGCCCGATGAAGAAGATACCAAACCATTCAGCCGCGCGACTTCAGCCTGCGCGCGCGCTTGGTTGCGCTTCTCATTTTCCTGCTCGCGATGTAGTCCTTTGAGACTGCGCTGGATGTTGCCTTGGTGGCGGCCGGTCGCTTCGTGCTGCGCGCGTTCAAACTTTGTGTCTTTTACATAAGTGGAACAGAACTTGCACCAGTATTTTGGCTACAATATTGTTAGTCGCCGATATACAAGTAAGATGGTTTTGTTATGCTCACTGTTGACTTCCAATACTCGGCCATGATGAAGTGTCGAGTGGAGACTGCGACATCACGAAGTCGTCGGAGCTTGAGTTTCGGTGCACGGACCAGGCTCGGTGGTCCGCTCCGCAACATGGGGGGCGCACTGTCCATGATGACATTTCACCATGTCCGAGTGACATCTATTTATTGCATACTCTGATGACTCTTGTATCATCCTTGTTTACGAGCTTAATGTCACTTTAGCTCAATATCAAAATGAGGCTGCTTTTCTAATTTGAATTCAGTAAATCAAATATTACGGCAGGCATGAAATCAGCATCGATATGTAGCAGCGGAGGTATCACACAAAGTGCTGGTTTAAGTTCAGCCTTTCAGGAAGAGTAAGCTTTTCAGTCAGCACCAATTGCAGAGAACTAGCACCTTAATGAGCACCTTGTCGAAACTAGTGTTGACACGACACAATGCACTCATGGAACAATTGCCCAGCGAGCACAACTTGCACTCCAAGGTTGATGTATACACGTATAGCAAATATTCATAGCACGCTCCATACCGTTGTCATACCAATAAATGCATTCCAGTTCATCATTTTACCTCCAATCTATAAAGCTCATACCGACGAAGTAATGGAGAAAAACGTCTAATACGCCCCTCTATCCAAACGTCTATTTTGTTATCATTGGCCATCAATTACTTTCCTTAAAATCAAAACTTTACAGGATACCTCTCCCGTACCACCTTGCCATATCGATATAGCAACGCAGGGATGGGGATAAATGCTACAGCAATAAACCCCAATATGCTATTTCTCCATCCTAGACCCAACTTCTCGTACATTAGCGGCCCGCTGAGCGGCAGGACAGCACCCATGAGACAGCGGAGAAACGACATAGCGGCCACAGCCGACGCAGCGTACTGTGGAAAACAGTCAATCATGTAGGTTTGAAGTGGAGCGTAGAGACCCATGAGACCGAAACCGAATGGGATGAGTGATGCAATTGGAACGATCCAGTGGACGTGATATTGAGCCGTCCAGCCATGCCTATGTATGTATGTTAGTATTCGGATCGAGACGTGAGCAAAGAGAATCATACAAGAAGAACGATATTGGGATCATAAGACCAAAGAATACACCAGCCGGCAACCGCATTTCCGGCTCGTAAACGCCCTTATTCTTCTTCGTAAGCCGGATAATCGTTGCGTCGCTAGTCCTAGCAACGAATGCGACACCAAAGCAATTTCCGACGCCGATGCCCAGGTATGCGAGACCCGTCATTTCAGGAGACCAGCCATATGTATCGATGAAGACGGGAGTGAGACTCGTGAAGAGCATCATGAGGAGGCCGAATACAAAAGATATGTAGAGGGAGCAGAATAGCACAATCGGTGACTTGACAAGCATCTGCACCGTGCGGGTGACGCTGTTGCAAAGACTGCGCTTGACACTCATTACTTCCACACCCTTCTTGTACATCATGATATTCTGGAGCTCAGGCCGATTCAGCTCTTTCCGGAGCCGCAGCGTCTTGCGCTGCAGGAGAACAGGGTGGTACGTCTCAGAGCTGAAAGCGAAGAGACTGCCTGTCAAGACGCATCCCGCAATGAGAATAATCCACATGTTCCAGCGCCACCCGATGCGCTGGGCAATGAAGCCTCCGCAGATGGGACCGATAATCGGGCCAAAGAGGATAGCCAGGGATAAAATGGATACCGCGAGTCCGCGCTTCGCAGTCACAAAGACATCCGCAATAACACCCGTCCCAATGGTGAGACACGGACTCCCACCTACACCGGCGAGAAACCGCATGGCGATGAGACTACTGAGATTTGGTGCGAGTGCGCATCCCAAGGTAAAGCCGCACCAGGCGACGCTCGAGCAGTTGAGCACCCAGTAGCGTCCGTAGAGCTCGGAGAGCGGGCTGAGGGATAAGACGCCGACTGAGAATCCGAGAACGTACACACTGACGGTCAGAGAGGCTAGTATCTGTGATGTGTTGCCGAATTCTGCGTCGATGAAGGGTGTGGCAGGTGCGAGGATAGACGAGGAAATGGGGCTGAGGGTTGTTAAGCATGTTACTAGGATTAGTAGCAGCCACTTCTTTCCCGTGGAGAAGTTTCGGGGATTCTTAGGGTCGTCTTGGAAGTCCCAGCCGACGAGTTTGTTGTCGAGGTCTGAGAGAGGGTACTTTTCAATGAAGATTTCGTTTTGCGTAATGTCCACCTCTTGTGAGGACCCTTTTTCAATGTCTTTGCTTGCATCGCTTTCGACTTGCTGAACTTCCTGGGGTATTTATTAGCTCTATTTTGCTTTGGAGAGATGGCTGATAGCGAATTTGGATAGAGATATCCAATCTTCGTCATGCTGGCACTGAAGTACTAATTGATGGATCTTGGGTGGTCTGCATACCTTTTCGGTCACTTCAGCTTCCCTCTCCGAGTCCGAGATGTACGTATCCGAACTATATGTCGACGATACCGCTGTATCTGAGCCACTGCTAGAGTGTGGTCGATTCTCTTCTGGTAAAGCAGCCATCTCGACAGCCCCAACTATAGCTCTCGCTACGGTATTTTGGGTATCAAATCTTTTGGAAACAAGCTTCTTGGCACAATTGCTTTGAAACAACAGTCACAAGCAGTGAAAGATGCAGTGAAGAATAGAAAAGCAATGCATTCTCAGTGTCAAGACCATTTTATATGGTAACCAAACCCCCCCGTCAAGCAGTGGCCTTTCTTGCTGCATCAAGACACGGTATACAATATGCCATCTCACAGAGAGCATCCCAGAAAGTACCGAGAACATGGGAAGTATTGCCAGAACCAGGCCGGTATCACGGACGCACCGAAGCATGGTCGTTCGCATCAACCAGCTATCATCACGGACGCACCGAACCCATGAACGCACGTTCAACATCTCGACACAACCCACATATTCATCCATGCAGAGAAACGAACGACCAGGATCTCGTACACTTTCACAACGAATGGGTCTCACCTCCGACCGTGAGTGAGAGAGGCGAAAGGCTCACGATACCACTAGGATACACGGTCATGTAATCCGCTGGCACTCGTGCACGAGCAACAACCCATCTAGTCTCACCAAGTCACACACACACGAAACGTACTCTAGTATGAAAAAGGACAGGTTCCCTGGGGCCTAGAACAGCAAGTGACATGCTACACACAACCGCTACAAGTGGCGAGCAAGGATTCACAAAAAACCCCATTCATCACTCCACGATCCAGACCCCGATATTCCCCATCGGATAAAAAACCCCACCCATGCAATAGTCAACAGATCTAGAAATAGCCCGCTTACTGGTTGTGCGGTGGCACCTCCCCCAGCTTTCCACCCATACATAGCCAGCGATTACGGGGCCACCGTCCCGGATGTGGCGGAGCCAAAGTTTAAGGGGACCTTGTCTAGTACAATGTACCCAAACACACGGGTTTATTTTGCCCATGTCCGTGCCACACTTCTTATTCCCTGGCCCGCAAAGCCACAAACACACACAGACCTTTCTGCTTCTCCGATTCCCATTGTCTTTTGCTCTATTTCGCCGTATCGTAAACCTAAGAGAAAGACGCCAAAGAGAAAAGGGAGGAGTAGAGACTTGTATCCAAACTCTCTTTTCTTTGCGAACATGCATTCGACAAACTCTCCTTTTCTTTTTATATTTATTACGATGGAACTATTGAAAACTTCCTGATTCGTAGATTTTTTTTCTCTAGCGTGGCGGCTCCAAGATCGCGAGAGAGCAAGGGAAGGGGGGAAATACTGGTGAAGCTAAGGAAGAAACGTTAGTACAAACTTGGCGTGAACGAGTATGCACGGACTCCCCTCTCACATCCCCTTCGACCTTTTATTTTTTGTTGTCTGGAAGGCTTTGCGGCTGTTCATGTCAGGTGGCGAATAAAACTTAAAGTGCACGTCAAGTGTCGAAGGCTCTTCTCCCCTTTGTTCAGGGTTGTTCGTGACACGTCTCAAGGCTGGTTTGCAACACACACATGTCAAGTATCAACATCGAGGCTCTGTGGCATGTCCGATACATGAGGAAACCGCATCTCCACATGGATGGGGAAAAGAGGATAGTCTTTTCCGCGAATCGCTTGTTTTGCCTGCAGCAACTACTGCTTGGCAGTTGTTTAGTGCTTACCTTCTGTGGTTCTAGAAGGCCAACACCCTAGGATGACAGTCGTCTAACGATACTGTTAGCGTTTGGTATCTGCCCAGACCCAGACGATTCCCATCACTTCACGGAGCCTTAAACGTTGCAGATGTGTTGATTAAACTTTTTTGCCACGTGCAGCTCGGAACATGCCTATCCACACCGACATTGTCTTCGACCATATTCATCCGACATCCATGACACTAACGTACATACAATACTTTGGATAAAAAAAGCTCCAAGGAGCTGGAAAAAAACACAGTATGCCAACAGCGCCAAACAAGCAATCAGTCATCCGCCCTAAACCATTCTGGCGCCGCCCGTTTTTATTAACCCAGTACATAGGAGATCAAGGTAAACCTTGCATATCTTGTGCAAGCGAGTCCTATCCGCTAAGAAGGTCTTTCACACTCATACCCCTTGCGCCGCTCCAACTTCGGCGATCCGTGTTTAGCATCATCAGGGCTTCGGTAGCTTCTTGATCTTCCCGGTCGGCTTGCGGCTTGAGTGCTGGTGATGTGAGGGAGAAATGGGCCGATCCGTGTGAAGAGCCCGGAGCAGCGACTGGCCCCGTACTGGGAGGGCCGGTATGAAATGGATTGCTGAAGTATGTGGCAGTTGGCGTATGAGCACTAAACGCAGGCGAAGGGTGAATAGTTGGCGAAGTTACAGTGGAGCGACTGGACGATGGGGCAAGCGAGTAATGGTGTGGGTCGGATGGTCGCAACGCGGGGGAGGGGTTTGCCGAGTAGTGCCCGTTGTGATCGTGGGGCATGATCGCCGGAGATGTGGTGGTGGAGTGGGTATATACGCTTCGATCTGATGGGCAGATTGCAGGCGAGGCATTTGCGAAAGAGTACCTGGACTGAGAGGGCTGCTCCACGTAGGTAGGCGATACAGCGTCTTCCATTTCTTCGTCCTGCTCCCGGTCGTCTTCATCCTCGTCTTGAATTCGTCTAATAGGCGGCGGGGGCAGTGAAGATGTAGTGGATGATGGAGAGTCGCGCCGTGAGTTTGCAGTCTTGAGATCCGAGACACACTGCTCCAGATAGCGCATGTACTCAATCGATGCCTTGGAGCTGTTAGCGCATGTCGACACATACTATGGAATACAAATACACACCTGCAGAATGGCAAGCTTGTGCATTTCCTGGCCCCTACAAGCCGGGATCATGTCTTTCAACACGCCGAATTCTTCATTCATCTTGGACCGTCTCCTTCGCTCAATCAAGCTGTGTGCCGTTTTTCGTGCAATTTTACGCCCAGCGGCAGTGGTGTTGCTCGCCTGCTTCTTCTTGCCGCCATTGGCAGTTGCGCTTGTCGCCTTTACATTCTGCGATTGCACTGAACCCTTGGGTGACTCTTGAGTATCCTTGGGCTTCATCTGGATGATCTTCCGCGACCGAGTAGGCGGAGGAGGAAGAGAATAGTCGTCCTTGGTGACAACGCTGTGCTGGGCTGCGTTGCTGGAACGCTTGCGCGAATGGCTCGACTTGGACGTCGCTACCGGGGACGATGGCGACGGCGGCCTGTATGAGGAGTCTGAGGCATTTTCGGAGGGACCCGAGGAGCTAGCTACACTGCCTCTACCAGCCAGGGCCGCAGGCGGTAAGTCGAAGCTGCTCTCCAATTGAGGGGCGTTGGCGGCATTTTTGCCTGTAATGTCGGTCGACGGCTGTGGAGTAGGCGGAAGGTTTGGGCGAGGCATGATTGGAGTGGAGAGAGGCTCGCTCACGGGACGTGTCCAGGATGCATCGAGGGGAATAGGAAGCTCGGAGAGTGGCTGTGAGGGGGGACAAGGCGATAAAAACAACGTACGGCGCGCATTATCACAGTCGGGGGGTGTCGCGTGGGCTCTTTTGTGTCGCAGCTTGAACAAGCACGACCACGCGGTGTCCTGCCCCCTCGTGATTGGCTGGCCAGATAGGTCAATCGATGGCGCCGGTCATCTCACCTCGAATGAGAGCGTCACAACGGGAGCGTGGGCGTCGTAATCATCGTCCGTAGGCCTCTGCAAGACCGCATTCTCTACAAAGAGTGGGCCTAACGGCAGACATGGACGAGTTGCAGCCAGCGTTGCTGATGCTCAACCTCAACCTTGAGCACGTGCTCGCCTTTCCCCTCCGCCAGCCGCCCGTTTGCCAGTCGGGCGAGCGTTTTGGTGTGCAGACAAGAGAATTACCCGGAAGAATCGATGAAATCATCCCATAATGCCTATTGTCGGATGGATGGGACACATTGGGGGCTCGTGGACTCGATAGCATGTGAAGACGGTGATCAACATTGAACCCTGAGTTCCTGGTGTTGGCGGACCGCGACTACAATCGCCCCACCATTGGGGCGTGACATTTCAACCCCAGATACGGGCACGTGCTCGAGTCAGGGGTCATGATTGAGGTATCATACATGAATCATGTCTACTTACCTGTCCATCTAGGTGTCTGCGGGTGATGTGCATTATTCCCTCACTATCCAGACTCGAAAAGTACCACTGTGGCTGCCAGTTCGGTAAGGAATACAAAGTAACCTTGTTTTGTGAACAGAAATGGCGCATATCAAAGAGATTGCATCATGGTAAGGCTCTTTTGGTGAATTAACCTCGTCATACTACTCCAAATGGGACATGTCCGTCAGGCTAACCATACCATGCACTCCTTCCTCTACCTCAATAAAGCAACATGTCCGCGTGCCACAGAATTGATACACCGATGGTCCAAATTCCACGACTATGCCATTCCAGTTTAAATGGCCTGTAGATGTGACAAAAAATTGCCTCATCTCGAACTGTCGGAGATGTCTAGCTAAAGCGAGTCCGAGAAGCACAACTTGGGACTAACTTCTTATGTGACAACCATCTCAGTTCCATTGCCGATGCCACATACCTCAAACTACATGTTTGCCACCTTAAATCACGCCACCTAAAGTCTAGAGTAATGTCGAGCCGTCAGTCATGTAACTTTGCATCCTCTTTTTGTCAAGCATATATCCGTTATAGATCTTCCACATGTGACCTTTTTTTCCAGCAAATCACAAAGAGACTATGTTTGACCGCTCTGGAAACCACGATGGAAAGTTTTCAGAATCGGGTGAGCGGCTCCACAAGGTACTCAAACTCCCAATCCCCATGCCACTGCTCTCGTAGCTTCGGTGAATTCTATATACTTACCTTCTACCGGTAGGGTAGGGTACATACTATGCCGCATTCCTCAATATTCTTAATATCCACGAAAAATATTTCACTCAAGCTCTCTTGGGTACAAAGACCGTAATGTGACATGAAGGATCCGTTGTACAGGACGTGACATCAATTATTTGAGGGTTGGGTCATACCCTCATGCGCTGAAAGCAAAAGCCTGAAAGAACTATGGAGACGGTATACATTCTTCCAGATATCGTGCTGAAAACGAGAGGTGTAAGCATTATTCAACCAAATCTCTTCGACGAAAAGCAACGAGGCCATACAAAATATGGCATTCTGATCGAGTGTCACTCTCCACCCCGCTTATATAACTCGACTTCAATGGGATTCTAAGAAATTCTTGATTAACTTACCATGAACTTAGCCTTAAGTCAATCGTTCAATTCCTCCTCCAAGATAAACGCATGTCAACAATCTTCAAATTATTCTTGCCCGCTCATGTACGAATCACTTTGACCCCCTTATGCACCAACCCGGTCTACTAACATAAGAAGAAACACAAAGATAGCATCAATGTATCCACTTTAAATTCTATTTTACCTAGAATTTACCCAATCAATACAAAAGCACTAACCCGAAGCAACTAACACCACTTCCTGCCCTCCTAACTGCTACACAGCAATGACCAATCGTCTCAATCAAACATGAGATTTTGTTTCCGATGTGGACGTAACGTATAGGATAGCAATTGTGAGTAGCAAACCCCTATACTAAAATCTCTAACCCATTCGTTTTCAATCTGTATGAACTTATCAAAGCTCGTATAAGCCAGTATGAAAGACTTGGTGAAGCGATGTGAACAACTAGCAGCACTTTAAAGTCAGTTAGCGACAGCAACAAATATGCATAATAAAGCAAGATATATGAGTGGAAGAATATGTAGGCGTTTTAGACGTGGTGCATATACAACAACGATTAGCTCTGTTTACCCTATAGACCCCCCTACTTCGCTTAAGCAATGTAGAGATACACGGAGCAAGTGCACCTAATCAATCTTCCAACTCAATCACCTTGTTTCTTGAAACCAATTCTTCAGTAGTGTGTAATTCTCAAAGTACTCATCCGAACCCGAGAAATGTGCTAGAATACCTTACTTCTTGTCCATCTTCCTCACATATCTTCCTCTCTTTTCCGCAGCAGCCTCTTCTCCAAACCCTCTTCTATATACATACCAGTAGTAGCAAAACCATCCAAGCTACTGCGCTACACTCCACCTCACCATCTCTAACCCCCCAAAATTTCACTGCAAATGGCAATAGTAGTTGTATTCAACCCGGAGTTGTCACGAACCTCCGCATGTGCACTCGTGTGCAACCCACGATACCTCAGTCTTAACTACATGACCCAGTGTGCTACTAAACAATACTCACAAACACTAGCTTCAGACCCAGAATTCACTGTCTACTTACTTTGTACGTCGTGCCTACACCGCCAAGTCTACCAAGAAAACAGCAAAATCGCATACAAGCTCTGGAAAATAGCCGATGCTATATGAATACCTGTCACGCAGGTTTGAATACTATTTAAAAACGTCGTTGCTTTCTATTTCCTTTATTCCAACCCGATTCCTCATCATCTTCAAGCCACATATTCCCTACCCTACATATATATATACTCTAAGCTACTGCTACTCCCTATACAGACCAAGTGACCCAACAAAAAAAAGTACCTAAGCGCTTATTCCCCTCTACAAAAAAAACAGCCCACTCTAAAAAACTCGCACCAAGCCAAGCGTTTCATCCCGTTTCTCATAAAAAAGACGATAAAAGTCACTCGGTATAAGTGCAAAGATAAGACCTGTTCAGTGTTTATGCTATAGGAACAAAAAGCGCCGTGTTTCAAAACGACCCTATAGCATCAAGCTTGACTCGTCTCTTATTACCGAGTCTTCCGCTGGGTATTTAAGAAAGAAAGTAAAAAACGGAGTTTGTACTTCGCACGGTGACATGAAATAAAAGGGTTCTTTGTTTGGGAGTTTGCGATGTGATGTATATGTTCAAGTTAGAGGATATATGAAGCGGCTATCTCGCTACCTTGATATATCAACAAGATGGAGAAGCAAGCGTTGTTATAGCCCGTTGATCGCTATCGAACTTCGCATAATGCGCTTATATAACGCAAAGACATGAATAGGACCCAATGCTGGGTGTTGTCGGTGTGCGTGTTTAGTCCGGCTTTTGCTGTCGGCGTTTAGCCATGATGCCCGCTGCGGCGGTGAGCGCCTCACATATATATGTAACTAAACAGTGATGCTCCAACAAAAACTGCAGATCAAGATGACATATCGAGTGGATTATAATCCATAAAAGCGGAGACTTGGTCTGGGTTAATCCAAGAAAACTTCAAGTGGGCATTCCAACTCTTTGCAGATCTATGAATCAGAGGAATTTGCGTTTGAGATATCCTACCGCAACCATATGTTAAGGATAGACAACTAGATGTATGCTATAACGTAAAACTACCAAAATGTAGTAACTATATATTTCATGCATGAACATCCCAAAAAAAAATATCCTACCACACAGACAATCTCGGGGTCCGATACCGAAGAAGGAAGAATAAAAATGTCCCGACCAGAAAAAGACGAGGCGAGTAAGGCCGATTTCCCCACACTACCGCGATTTCCACCCAAAAGTTCCACCCCGTATCGCGTGATCACCTGCATAATTTTGGCGCCCGTGTATACTACACGTGTGTCAAAGTTTGGAAAAGTCGATCTTATCACTGATCAGTACCGTAGCCTTTTTCCGGACCGCAGAAAATAAAAAAGAATCAAAAAAGAAAACCAAGGTGCATAGACAAAATCGACTGCCGAAACCTGCAATCTAGTAGCAGCATAACATAGCCCAACGCAAAGAAGGAAGAAAAAAAGAGAGGCTGGATGGATTTGGGTGCGGGGTACTTGTTACCTAGACGGAAAAGGGAATAGAATGAAGGGAATTAAGGCAGCCTACTATGCAAGTTCGGTACTTTGTTTGATAGCAAAAACCTTGAATTTTGCTCGGCGCAAGCCCAGAAACTTTGACCATCAGATTCCGTTTCTTGTCGGGGTGTCACCACTGTTCCGTAAAATGCCGAATACTCATATTGGACTAGGAAAGCCCGTACATACATCACGCGGTGTTGAGTATTGCCTCACTGCTATACCGGGTGGACCCAAGACTAAACATCGGTGAGGCGGCTTAGGTCGAGCTGATGAGCTCCTGTTGTGCGTGTTGGGACACCCAAACGTAATCAATGACTGCTTTTAGTGGCAGCCAAGCTTCATATCAAAGTTGTTGCTTGACACGTGCCGCCAACACCATTTACACCATACAATCTTGCGGTAAAGATATGTAGTCGACCGTTGCGTTTTATCTTTTTCAGCTTGTCGCCATCCCCACAAGTCATATTGCTATTGGCGGCCGGATGTTGGGAAGATGCTCCCGGCAGCACGTATAATCGGGCATCGTGGAGCACAGTCGCTTTGGTGCCGCTCAATTCCCGCAAAAGGAAGAAAGACCGTTGTGCGCATCTCTGCGGGTATCATGTCGATGCGGGCCATGGAGATCTCTGTCGCTTCATTCAAGTTTGCTGAATTATTGGAAGATATAAGTGGGAATTCTTGCAAGAAAAAGGCATGATTGACTGGCGTGGAAGCAGGTACAGGGAATGGGAACCGCCGCCTCGGATAGTAGCGAACGACATGCAGAGGACCTTGACTTTGCTCACCGTCTTTCAGAGAATCAACATTTGAGCGCGGCAACCGAGGGTCCTCCCGTTGCCGGAACAACATGTTCAGCGAATGGATGGTGTTGATTTTGGACTGGTGGCTTGCAGAAACTCGAGCAACATGCATGCTTCAACCTTGCACCTTGCAAATACAGCGGTGGACAAGAAAAAGCTATGACGCAGATACAGGTCCCAACTGTCAAGATGTAAAACTGCTTGTCAATGCGTAATGCTGGTGGGTGAGGGCCCTGTTGCTCGTGTGCTCGCTAAACGAACAAGCTTGTTCCCTTTAGCATGACTCACCGCTCAAAAGGTATTTTTTTGGACCAACAGGCGGCGATCGACTCGTGAGAGGGCGCATTTACAGAAAAAGCTCTAGTGGCTAGAGGCAACATCTACAGACTCAACAAAGCAGCTGATTTTGCCTCGTGATTGACTGTGGGTTTTTGTACCGTTTGAATCGTCGTTCAAGTTGTAGGCGTTTCAACTATGCAGTCCAGGCGGTCAAATCGGGTGTCAATAAATGGCCGGCGGTAACAAGGCCGATCGATAGAGGCGACGCGCGGGGCGAAGCGGAGCCAGGATCAGAGTGAAGGCAGCCATCGGACGTCAGCCTAAGACTGCCATGGGTCGTCGGCGAGAAACGAGTACGTACGTATTGCGCGTTACATGGATCAATTCGTCCGTGATGTTGAGACAAAGCTTCGCCACAGGGGAAGAAGTTATTGAAGTCTCGCTTACGGCGGCATCCCTGCAAGGTAGATCATGGTATCATAGCTGGTGAGAGAGCATGTGACTCGGAGCGCCCATGCCAAGAGAGTGCACCGCCACGCCGCCACACCACCAAAAAATCTAGCTTGCGCAAGCAGTGTATTGCATTCGGAACGGGCGAGCAATTCGTTGGGCCGTACGCAATATTTTGGGTGGTGCGTTATGCAGCTAGACAGCTCGCAGGTAGGCGGCAGCTGCACTCAGCCTGCAGTGTCGTGGCAGACTAACGTCGGCGTCCAACGAATGTGCGACGTTGCTGTGTGATGTCTGCAGACGATAGGGCTGCGCAAACCTGAGCGATGCGTCATAGCGCTTATGGTTAGTATGGATGGGTGTCGCAGTTGCTTCTAGCCCACCCGGTATTTGGGAGGTGCTAGGGAGATGATGGGTCTTTTACGACGACAAGTGTACGGATTTATTCGCGCGCTGCGCTGCATACAGCAGGCAGGTCCACTTGGAGGGGCAGCTTCACTTGGAGACGAGTCCATGACGATGGCGACATGCGAGAGCGGAGTAGAACAGTTCCTGCAGGTCAGGAGGAGTCATAGCAACGCATGATGCTGGTGGATGCGAAGGAATACGCACGGTGAGTTGTCTGATAGCCAAGTGGGACCCGTGAATTTTGAACATGTAAAAATGCTGTGTGTGCGGGCTCGGTAGGGAGGCAACCCGATGAGCCACCAGGATAAGGGCCGATGCGGTCCAATGGGGACGTACAATTCAGGCAAAAATGCCAGTGAGAACTGTGTGCCGAGAAATTGCAAGGAGCATGTTGACGGGAGAAACGAGGCATTGTGCGACCCGGGCGTTGGCTTCATGCGCCCCACGGATATAGGCGTTCCGCAATAGCCAGTCACAGACAAGGTGGGAGGTACTTGCGCTGCGAACTTGCTTTATCAAGCTGTAGTGAGTGTGCGCGGGGAGATCAAACCATGCTGCCGCGAGTATTTGCTTTGCTGTTGACGGATTGCCATCGAATCATTGTGGCCCCGCTGGCGCGATATGCAGCCGTAGTGGGCCCATGGAATAGAGTAGGATATATGCCTTGGAAGAGAGTGCAGTAAGGTCGAAAGTAGCGGTAAACAACAACGCGCGCCACAAGCCAGCAACTTGGGGGGTGAGCTGTGAGACATTGGGGAAAAAATTTTCACGGGCGGGAAATTAGGCTTGGGAGAGTGTGCGAGGGAAGTTCGAGAAGGGATCCGAGCGAGCAGGACTGAGTGCGGCTCTCAAGCGACGACAGGGCCTCCCCTAGTAGGCGATAGGCTTTTCCCCAAGCGCCGCGGGACGACGTTGAATTGGTGGACCTTCCGTTGTTTCGGATGGATGGACTGGAGAATGAGTAGCCGGGTGCCGCGACGAGGGGCACAGGATAGCGTTTGTGCTAGGCAAGAGATGGTGTACCAGAAGGTGGACAGTGAAAAGAATGGTTGACAGGCATCGAGTGGCGCCGCAGAGGGAAACGGTAGATAGATGATGCTGGTCGGGGAGGTGGTCGGTCAATGCGGAATTGGCTGCGTACGACAACCATGTGGAAGTACGGGCGCCGGTGCCAGGGCGTGGCCGGCCACCCAGAGGGCACAGGCAGAATGGGCCGTGCTATCACATCCCATCCGCACTGCAGCGAGCCCAACGCGGGCCTTTGCTGTTGCTGTAGTTGCGGTTGTTGTTGTGATGGGGGGCACTGGCCTGGTGGAGTGAGTGAGTGCGTGCAAGGAGCACCAGCGGAGGTCAGCTCATCAGCAAACAAGAACTGCTGCAGCCCATGGCCGGCTGAGTCGAGGGCGCTGGAAGCTGGAGGAGCTGCTGGCGCACAGCATGTGTCGTGGGCGGGCTTTGGCAGAGGCGGTCCAGGATTACGGATATATAGTAGTGCGAGCAACGTAGTATGTTTCCAATATTACCCACCCCAAACAGAACAAATTCAAAACAGGCTGAGCGCAATGCCGCCCGCTCTCTCCGCCGCCACTCTACCTACTACTAAGACCTCTGTGCACATTAGGCAGCAATGCAACGCCGCCGCCGCCGTGGCCATCGTGGGCGGGTAGGCAGGCAGGCGGGCTGGCGGGCTTTTCTCTCTCGCACAGCCATTCCGTGGGTTGGCGCCACGGCAATGGATGGATGGGGCAGAGGGCAAAGGGGCCGTGTGTGAGATTGGATTGGGTTGGGGAGAGGGCGAGGACGTGTAGGGTTCGGGGCTCGGTTTCCCAGAATACTATACTGGTGGGCACAGCTAGACCAAGTACGGCGGCGAGGCCTGCATGTCAATCTGACCCGGCGACGGGGGAAAGGCCAAAGCATGGGAGCCCTTGGCCTGCACTAGCTGGTGAACGGCGCGACAGGGGGGCTGCGTTAGGGTGGATGGGCGCCCGCTGAGGTCCGCGCGCGGAAGGAGCGAGTGACGGCTCTGGTTTGAAAAGCAGGCTGAGCCCGCCGCCGCTTCCTCTTTTGCCTACCCGAACATTCACCACCCCATTACCAAGCACTCCAGACGACCCCGTCTACACACGCCCACTCTTCAGGATCCTGCTCTCTGGATCCTTCTGGCATACTCTAGCATCCCCTCCATTCCACACCCAATGTGCAGCAGGCCGACCCGGATATCCCCTCTCCTCCCCTCCGTCGCTGCAACCTCCTCCTCCGCCGCACTATACCACCGCGCGCGAAGAACCTCGTTTGCTCTGCACATCCCCAGGTGAAACAGGCACCGGCCTGAGCCCTCGACCCCGCTCCCAAACCACCACCCCCATCGTCCGCCTCGCAGTTACGACTTGGACGCCCTCACCACACCCTCTACAAATATGTACGCACCACAGTATCCCACGCCTCCTCCGGGCTACATGCCCTACGACTACCACCGCACCACGCCGCCCATGTCCCCCGGCCCCGGTACCAACTACTACTCGCCTCGCCACGCTCCTCAGATGGCCACACCACGAGCAAGCCCAAAGGTCTCTGGCCACTCGCGCCGGGCATCCCACGCCGTACCATCGACACAATACCAACAATACACGGCCTCACCCCGAGGAGGAGCCGTGCCCCACTATGGCGCTGCCGAGTTTGCTGCCCCGCGCACCCACGCAACGCCGCGAGGCACCCCCGAATATGTAAGTTATTTCGGTTACACTCTTCCAAGTCGGCATCGCCGCGACTCAGACGTCCCGCCTCTCAAGCGCAGTCATCGCGAGAGGAAGCGTCGTCCGTCGCAGTCGGCGCGTCAGGTCCACACCAGAGTTGTCTACGACGACCGAGGCTACGGCTACGAATGTGACTACGACGTCTA